TGCCAGAAAATCAAACTGCATTGAACTCCAACAACCAAGAAATTAAAGAAAAAGGCAACCAGAACAACCAGACCAATAAGAACCCACGGCAAGGTGGTGGACTGCATGGACCAGGACCAGCTGAGAAAAACCACAGTAAGACGATGGACCGCACAGGTAGGGATGGTTGAAGGTGAAACTGAGCCTCAGAGTTGACTGTGGACTACAGCGGTTGCTGTGGTGGGAGAAACTCCCAAAGTCACACCAGGGTTCATTAGAAAGTGGGCTAGAGATGAGCAGGCAAGTTGCATTGTTCCCTTTCTGGCCCATGCCCCACAGGCAGCACCACAGCACAGCAAAGAGGGTTGCCCTGCCCTGGTGAATACCTAAAGCTCTGCCCCCTTACAACTTAACAGGTACATCAAGACAAAGAAATATGGCCAAATAAAAGAACAGAGCAAAACTTCAGAAAAAGAGCTAAGTAATGAAGAGAGAGTGAATTCTCTGATAGAGAATTTAAATCCCTGGTAATCAAATTGCTCACAGAACTGACTGAGCTTGGTCAAAAAATGAAAAAATAAATGAAAGATACCCAAAGTGAAATAAAGCAAGATATTCAGAGAACCAACAGTGACAGGAAGAAAACCAGGACTCAAATCAATGATTTGGAACAAAAGGGAAAAATAAACATCCAACCACAACAGAATGAAGAAACAAGAATTCAAAAAAGTGAAGAGAGACTTATGAACCTCTGGGACAACTGGAAATGTTCCAATGTCCACATTATAGGGGTGCCAGAAGAAGAACAACAACAGCAAGAAATTGAAAACTGATTTGAACAAATAATGAAGGAAAATGTCCCAATACAGCAAAGAAAATAAACTTCCAGGAAGTCCAAGAAGCCCAGAGAGTCTCAAAGAAGCTGGACCCAAAAAGGAACACATCAAGGCACATCATCATTAAGTTACCCAAGATTAAAGATAAAGAGAGAATCTTAATAGCAGCAAGAGGAAAGGAAAGATTACCTATGAAGGAGTTCCCATTAGACTATCAGCTGATTTCTCAAAAGAAACTTTGCAGGCAGAAAGGGACTGGAAAGAAGTATTCCAAGTCATGAAAGGCAAGGACCTACACCCAAGCTTACTCTATCCAGCCCAGCTTTCATTTAGAATGGAAGGTCAGTTAAAGTGCTTCCCAGATAAAGTCAAGTTAAAGGAGTTCATCATCACCAAGCCCTTATTACATGAAATGTTGAAGGGACTTATCTAAGAAAAAGAGGATAAAGAATATGAACAATAAAATGACAACAAACTCACAACTATCAACAAATGAACCTAAAAGAAAAGACAAACAATGAAAACAAAAACTAAGCAAACAACTAGAACAAGAACAGAATCAGAGAAATGGACATAACATGGAGAGATTTCAGTGGGGAAGGGGAAGGAGGAATGGGGGGAAAAGGTACAGGGAAAAAGAAGCATAATTAGTAGACATGAAATAGACGGGGAGAGGTAAAAAATGGTATAGGAAACAGAGAACTCAAAGAACTTACATATACAACCCATGGACATGAACTGAGGGGGGGTGCTGGAGGAAGGAGAGGGGATAAAAGAGGGAAAATTGGAAAAACTGTAATAGCATAATCAATAAAAAAATTCTTAAAAAACATAAAAATTTAAAATTCTTAAAAAAATAAATAAAGATGCTCAAGAAGCTTAGTGAGGACCTCAGCATCATAAAACAGGTCCAGTCAGAAATGAAGGATACACTAATTGAAATAAAGAACAATTTATAGGGAAACAATAGTAGAGTGAATGAAGCTGAGAGTCAAATTGATTTGTAAGATAAACAATCAAAAAATAACCAATCAGAACAAGGGGAAAGAAGAATAAAAAAAAAAAGATGTAGACAGTGTAGGCAGCAGCTGGAACAACTTTCAGTGGTGCAACACTAACATCATAGGGGTGCCAGAAAAAGAAGAGAAAGAGCAAGAAATTTGAAATCTATTTGAAAAAAAATGAAAGAAAACTTCCCTAATTTGATGATGGAAATAGGCACACAAGTCCAGGAAGCATGGAGAGTCCCAAACAAGATGGATGCAAAGAGGCCTACTCCAAGGCACATCGTAATTAATATGCCAAGGTTTAAAGATAAAGACAGAATCTTAAAAGCAGCAAGAAAAAAGAAGTTAGTTACCTATAAGGGAGTGCCCCTAAGACTGTCAGCTAATTTCTCAAAAGAAACTTTGCAGGCTAGAAGGGATTGGCAAGGAATATTCAAAGTCATGGAAAGCAGGGACTTTCAGATCCAAGATGGTGGAGAAGTGGAAGCTACACTAACTTCTTCCCAGGACCAATCTGGAATTACAACTAAATTGCAGAGAAATCATCCAGAATAACCAAATGAACACTGGCCAGAGAGAAGCCTTATAACCAAGGACAGACATGAGAAACTACTTCACTACAAGACTGGTAGGCAGTGAATAGGAGGTGCAAGAGGGATGGCTGTGCTCCCATGGATGGCAACTGAAGTTCTGGAGGAATATTTCAGTGGCCTTGGAGTTCCCCCTGAGAAGTGTGGGTCAAAACCCCAAACTGGGATCCTCAACATACAGCACAAGAGCCAGAAAGAAATCCAGATAACTTCCAGATGTGAAAAGCAGCAGGGTTTCTCTCTGCCAGGGAGAGATAGCTGAAGATGCAGAGAGCCCCTTAAAGGGCCAATGGACAAAATTTCATATGCAGCCACTTACCCTGGGCTCTGGCAGAGGGAAGGCAGAATGGACTAGAGACACTTGAGGAGAACCAGGCAATGGTGGCTCTGAAGGGAGAACTAAAGGAACAGCTACCAGGATCCCTATGCTGAATCATTCCCCATACTGCAGAATCCGTCTTTCTCAGGAAAAACACTCCTCTCCAAGTGGCATCAGCCTGAGGGGAAACAATAGCCCTGCACATAGGAATTACTCTGCCTGTGGTGCTTAAGTCTAGTTTCTGATTACAGCTTCATTAGATAGCAACTGATCCATTTAATGATTGATTAACTTAATAACTAAAGTTGAAAATACAGGGGAGCAGCCAAAATGGGAAATAAAGAAACCCCAAATGAAAGAACAAGAGAATTCTCCAGAACTAGATGAAATGGAGACAAGCAATTTATCAGACAAAGAGTTTAGAGTAATAATTATAAGGATACTCAACAGCATAAAAAGAAACATAGAAACCATAAAAAAAGAATAGTCAGAAATAAAGAATGCAATATCTGAAATAAATAATACACTGGAAGGAATAAACAGTAGGTTAGATGAAATAGAGGGTTGAATCAGTGTTTTGGAAGACAAGGTTGAAAAAAAACACCCAAGCAGAGAAGCAAAAAGAAAAAATAATTTTAAAAAATGAGGAGAGCTTGAGAAACATTTTGGAAAACATGAAGCATAACAACACCTGTGCCATGGGAATGAGAAGAGAGCAAGCAAGTGATCAAGAGAACCTATTTAAAGAAACTGTGACTGATCCCTGGCTGGTGTGGCTCAGTGGATTGAATGCTGGTCTGCGAACCAAAGGGTCGCCAGTTCAATTCTCATTCAGGGCACATGACTGGGTTGCGGGCCAGATCCGGCCCACAGTAGGGGTTGTGTAAGAGACAATCACACATTGATGTTTCTCTCTCTTTCTTTCTCCTTCCCTTCCCTCTAAAAATAAATAAATAAAATATTCTTTTAAAAAAGAAATTATAACTGCAAACTTCCCTAATCTGGTGAAGAAAAAAGACACACAAGTCCAGAGTGTGCAGCGAGTCCCAAACAATTTGGACCCAAAGAGACCTACATTGAGACATATCATAATTAAAATGACAAAGCTTAAAGACAAGAAGGGAATTCTGAAAGCCACAAAAGAATAGCAGGTAGTTACCTACAAGGGAGCACCAATTAGACTGACATCTGATTACTCATCAGAAACATTTCAGGACAGAAGGAAGTAGTGCGAAATATTCAAGGTGATGAAAAGCAAAGAGCTACAACCAAGGCTACTTTACTCAGCAAAGCTATCATGTAAAATCAAAGAGAAATAAGGAGCTTCCCAGATAAGAAAAAGCTAAAGGAGTTTGTTAACACCAAACCAGTACTGCAACAAATGTTAAAGGGCTTGCTTTAAGAAGAAAAAGAGAAAGAAAACAAAACCTCATAGACCTATATGCTAAAAGGGTGAATTTTACCATATGTAAATTATACTTCAATATTTGAAAAGTATTTTCTTATACACTACTTTTGTGTGATACTTGTATTTTATAATTGCATAGTGTGATAATACCTTAATAATATTTGACATTTTTTAAATTAAAAAAGCTTTAGAAAGCATTAGAGAAGATATTCTGGCACTTGATGGGAGGTTGAAATGGGTGATCTCTAAAGTCCTCTAAAACACCATAGTTTTTGAGATATGTATGTGACTCTCTCCAATCTCATCCACAAAATTTTTATGTAAGTACCTGTGTGAATATAATCATTTATGGTTATATTTATGTTTGTATTATATACAAATGTAAATATATATGCACAGAAAATAATTGGAATATTCTTCAGTATTATGATTTATTATATTATACACACTTGTGTTTCCTTCTCCCCCCCACAATATGTGATTATGTGTAATCCAAAAAAAATTATTATTTTACTTACAAAATACATACTGTGCAACAAATTAAAATTAGGTAAATGAGGGAGGTCATATTCAAGTCTATACAAATCTATAATCCCTAGTTTAAGAAAATATAAAGTAGCTCACTTCAATATGTCACATTTGATATATTAAAATATTTAAAGAATAGAAATTTGCCCATTTGAATGTGGAATGTGCGGCATTTTCCTCATTTTTAAAAGAAAAACCTAGACAACCATGTTTTCCCTCATTTTAAAAATTTTTCCTAGCTCTTTCCTGCATTATATTAGAAATTTCTTTGTGCATACCTCTGAAACATAGCCTCTTGAAGAATTTGCTATTAGAAATAGGATGAAGTCATACCATGCAGATGAGGAGAAACAGTCTGGGATGGCCCTGCCAGCTCATCCTCACTGCTCCACTTGTCTCTTAGGAAGGATCCACTGGCTGTCCATATACTACGTTCACTCTCACTAGAAAATAAATTTATATAGTGTTCATGTCAAAGAACATGCACATTAAAAAATATCTGATAATCCACAGTAATTATTAAATTGACGTTAACTTCCATTTCAATTCAGCCACACACTTTCATTTTCTGCACCTGGAACTGACCCACTTCCAAAGAGATAATTCTAAAATCCCAATGTCTGATCACCAACTCCATTTCCTTCCACTTTTACCTGGCTTGCAAACTAGCTACCTTCGACCTATCCACCTATTCACTTTCTTCTTTTATCTAGGTTGTGGGAAAACAGTACTAGGGTTGCTGGGCTTTCTTGTATCATCAGACAGTCATTTGGAAAACATTGGTATATCTCTGTTCCATTTCCTCGACTATTCCTCCTACAGCTAACTACCACCTTCATGGAGTCCAGACCTTAATGCTCTGTTATAGTAAAAATGCAACCCCTGCTAGAAAATGCAGCCCAGAAAACAAGAGCTCTTTCAACTTACTTTTTAAATGTATACCTAGATGCATCAATGGTCTTCATTATTCCTTACTTCCTGTTCAGAATTAATCCTTCCACGTTCTCAACTACCATGAATGCTGTATCCTCTGAGACATTTTTCAAAAATTTCTTTATATAATCACTCCCTATCAGCAGATTCTTCCACATTATAAAGATACTCAATTCTCTCTCACTTTAAACATAGAAGACTCTTTAAACTTTCTATCATCATCTAACTACTGCTCTATTTCTAATGATTTTTCAAATGCTAATCCACACGAATTTGTTTTCTTTCCAGTTTCTCACCACTCAGGTTACTCACTTGTGTAATCTGCTTGGCTCTTGTTGCACTTACATTTATAACTCCACCTAACAAAAACCTCTTACTTTGGCTTCTGGGTCTAATCTTTAATGTCCAGAGAAATTTCTCCTTAAAATCCAAATGTTATTATATCTGTGCACCAACTTCAGGATAAACCAAGGCTCCTAGTGGACACATAAGTTTAGGATTTTGGCAATGTGGTCTTTGCCTACTTTTTCATTGTCATCTCCACATGCACTTCAAGCTTTAACCTTAACAAAATAAAGGCTTTTTTCTTTTATTTATGTGGATAATTTCAGGTTTCTTTTCTTTCTCCTTCTTTGTTTCCTGCCAGCTACCTTCTACCTTGCTACCAAAAATCCTCCATATAGATAGATAGGTAGATAGATGATAGATAGATTAATAAAACAAGGGTGTATCTATGCTTTATTTTCATTCTAACAGATAGAATAAATTGTATACTCCTTGGTTTCACACATATCTAGTTCCTTCACACTTTGACTTATGCTATATTTTTGGCTCCATCTCTCATCTTCTGAAGCTTTCTGGCATTCCAATTCACAATTCACACCCTACAATTCTTAACACATAACATTTCCCACCATTAATAAGGTATTTTCACAACTCGCTACCTTTGCTCAAACTTCTGCCGCATGATTGAAATTTTCTTCCCTCTCTTTTCACCTGCTAGATTTCTATTTATTTTGACCCTAAATTCCAACCAAAATATCTTTTCTCCAAGCAAATGGTAAATAATGCTCCTCTTCCATACTTTTCTGTCTTCTGTGCTCAAAAGTCCTTGGACTTTAACTTTATAATAGTTACTATATTGCATTTAAATTTGTCTCTTTCATATTTTCCCCTAGTTAAACTACAAACTAAAGAGCAAGAACTATGCAGTGTTTTGCATTTATAAATAGTGCTCAGTATAAAATTAGTATCTGCTAATTATTATATACTATTAGCATATAGTTTGTTCATTTAATGTACTTCTGAAAGTTGTACATACAAGATTTATACTATATACACTATTGTGCAGTACTATCCCAGTCTCTATAGGTAATATAACATAGAAACATCTAAGAAAATATGACTTAATAAAATGTTTCCTTATTTGATATGTTTTTGCATATAACACCTAAATCTGAACATTTTATGAACAAGAAACCTCCTGTTTCTTTGGTTTTTCTCATGGAAATTTACTTTGTTCCTGATTCTTTAATTTTTTTTTCATACAAAGTTCCAGGAATTCACCATGATAGCAGTCCTTTTGTTTCTAGTACATTATTTTATTTCTAGAAACAGACATAATTTCTAATAAAGTCTCACTGCATATTGAGCTTCACCTTACCTTAAGTATAGTGGCTCCTCAGGAGCTCTGGACACATTTACAAAGGCTTGGGAACTATGGAATTAATGAGATGGCAAAGAAATTAAATTCTTTAAATAATATCTGTTTCTTGTGTTAATGCCATATTTATGAGATCATAAATACATCTTACTTCTAGCCAAACCAAGTTGTACTTACAAGGAGCTATATTTTTAAAAAGATATATCAAACATTTGTCTCCACTCAGAAGGCTAGCTAGCTATTAAAATGACTAAATAGAAAACTAAATAAGCATGTTAGTTATACCTTTTTGTAGGCTCTTTAAAAAAATCTTCATAGTCACTATGTTGGAGATCCTGAAGAGAGAATTTTCCCTTCTCTGAGTTAACCTCATTTGCAAAAACCTACAGGCATAAGAATAGAACATTATGGCTCAGATTTCATAAATATATAAATTAAAAGCATGATTTCTATAGCTTCCTGAAAAAACAATAAGTAAAAATGGACAGTTATAAAACCAGTCACAGGAGTGTAAAGTCATCATAGGGAATACAGTCAATAATATTATAATAATTATGTATGGTGTCAGATGGGTACTAGATTTACCAGGGTGATTACTTTGTAAGGCATGTACATATCTAATCATTATGTTGCACACCTGAAACTAATATAATATTATATGTCAATTATAATATTAAAAACAATAAGGTATTCAATAAACAATAAGTTATCCATAACAATTAAAACTATAATCACAGTGTGACTTTTACTCCTAGAAAATCACTTGAAATGTGTATCTCCCTATCAAATATTTTCTAATCTGCCATAACAGACTAGAGTACTATTCATATACAAGTGATTTTTATTGAATCACTCAAATTATTTTCCAAAAGTTGATTTTAAAAAATAAGTTTCATTTTTCTTAGAAAAAAGATTATGACTTCAACACAAAGATTCTTATCATGAGTGTTGAGTTTATTGTAAATAGAACATTCCCATTGAATCTGTAAATTGCTTTGGGTAGTATGGACATTTTGATGATGTTAATTCTTCCGATCCATGAACACAGTATATATTTCTATTTGTTTGTGTCTTCCTTAATTTTTTTCTTTAGTGTTCTGTAGTTTTATGTCCTTGATTAGATTTATTCCTAGGTATTTTATTTTTCTTGTTGCTATATCAAATGGGATTTTTTTCTTGATTTCTGCTTCTGCTGTTTCATTGTTGGTATACAAAAAAGCCTTTGATTTCTGGATATTGGTTTTGTATCCTGCTGTTTTGCCAAAAATTCATTTATTAGGTCGAGCAGTTTTTTGGCGGAGTCTATAGGATTTTCTATACACACTATCATGTCATCTGCAAACAATGACTATTTTGTTTCCTCCTTTCTGATTTGAATGCCTTTCATTTCCTTTTCTTGTCTGATCACTGTGTCTAAAACTTCCAATACTATATTGAATAGAAGTGGTGAAAGTGGACAAACTTGTTCCTGATCTTGTGGAAAAGATTTTAATTTTTGCCCATTGAGTATGATGTTGGCTGCAGGTCTCTCATATATGGCCTTTATTAAGTTGAAGCATTATGCTAAGCAAAATAAGCCAGGTGCTAAAAGACAAATACCATATGATCTCACCTTTAATAGGAACCTAAACAACAAAACAAACAAACAAGCAAAACATAACCAAAGACACTGAAATAGAGAACAGGCTGACGGTGACCAGAGGGGAGAGGGGAGGGAATTTCAGGGGAAAAGGGAAAGAGTATACAGGAACAGGTATAAAGGATACATGGACAAAAACTAGGGGGGTGTGGAAATGGGAGGAAGGTGGGGAGGACTGGAGGGGTGGGCTGGGATGAGTGTAAAAGACAGAAAACTGTACTTAAATAATTCAAATTAAAAAATTAAAAAAGAACATTCCCAACATTGTATTTATCTTTCTTTTAGAGCTTTTCTCTGCCATGAGATTTAGTACTGCCCAATTGACTTTAGTCTACTTTGTTGCATTTGGAGCCTCTGGTACAGTATGTAGCCTACCAGTAAACAAAATTGAACATAATTAGAGGGGGAAAGACACATTAAAATACAGATTCAGTAATCAGTATTTTAGCCCTTATTTCTGCTTCAATTAATCTATTCACTCACAGTTTTGGCCTGGGGGCCTATTATGTGTAGATACTCTTCTAAATACTGCAGATAAAACACTGAACAAAAGAGGTTTGTGTTCTGCCCTTGTAGAGCATACATAGTTTCATAGGGAAAGAAGAAATACACAGCAAGCATATAAAAATTACAGTGGTGATAAGTGTTAATGTAGTAACAGAATATAGTGATGCATAATAGCCATGTACCTTAAAAACAAAAAGGACTAAGCAAAGGAAGCATCTTGAGCAAAAAGATCAGGTCCACAATCCAGGCAGCCTTTTATGGTCTAGCTGCTGCCTAATTTCCCACCCTTATTTCTTGCCTATTTCTCATGCAGCATCTCCAGGCACAGCCTATGTCCAGCATTTTTGTCTTTTTTGAAGTGTTCTTTGATTACTTTAATTTTGTAAAGCTTATTAATCTTTTCCCCTCTTGCTAGTTGTATGTGTTTTGCTTGATTCCATAAAACTTCCTAGACCTGAAATACCTCTTGTGGGCATACATACAGACATCATTCCAGAACATGAACCCAAACACAATTTTAAAACCAAGCGCATTAGTGGAAAGATATAAAAAACTACCCAGAACTCCTATCAAGCATATTCATTTTGCTGAACAATTTAAAACATATAGCTTATTGAGTTTTTAATATAACATTAATAAACATTGCTTGAAATATAAAGTTAATATATTTTAGCAATAACTTTATCATTTTAGAACATACTGCCCTGGCTGGTGTAGCTCAGTGGATTGAGTGCGGGCTGCGAACCAAAGCATCACAGGTTCGATTCCCAGTCAGGGCACATGCCTGGGTTGCAGGCCATGGCCCCCAGCAACCACACACTGATGTTTCTCTCTCTCTCTCTTTCTCCCTCCCTTCCCTCTCTAAAAATAAATAAATGAAAGTTAAAAAAATTAAAAAATTTAAAAAAAGAACATATTAACTTCTGGTAGATTAGCTAATTGCTGTTTTGAATAATATATAACACATAAATTTAAAAAAATCCCTATGCAAGTAAAAAAAATATTAATTATCCAATATTTTTCTAAAATATTTTAAGCTTTGCTTTTAATATTTACGGATTTAATTCACCAACAATCAATTTCAGTACAAAGTGTACTTTTGTCTCTCTGCTCAACCACCAACAATGATCTTGCATTCAACTGGACATTGACAAGACCCAATAGGCCACACCTGGTGCCAAAGAATATAGAAGAACAGCCACAACACATCAGCAGTACAATCTTACATTTGCCCACATCAGGAGTCCTAACAGCTTTCTCATGTCAACTCAGGTGAAGGTAGCAAGACCACATGGGTGGTCTCACCCATGTCATCCTGGCTTAGAAGCCTCAAGCAGAACAGGAACCAGTGTCTCTTATAACACTCCATGAACCTGGCTTCTGGAGATCACAGAAAAGGGCTTCCCACATTCACCCCATTTGCACTATCAATAAGGTATGTATTGTCTTAGTCATAAACCTTCCAATCCAGGAGCCATTTTTTACCATAATCAATGTGCTGCTTGATAACTCAGATGATAGTCCACCTTTATTAGGTTTCCAGAGAAACAGGATACCAGAAGGCTAACAAAAGATTATTTTCTCACTGCGAAGAAGAAAAGGTTCTCATGACCTTTACTCATAGGTAAAAATGCAGTTTTATTGTTCCTGTGGGAATAACCAACTATACCAGCACCATTAATTGAGCAGACCATTCTATCTGCAATGCTACCTATCACATGAACAGTTCCTGTATATGCATCAATGGATATTTTTCTGTAATTTCTATGCAGTTTCATTGGCCTTATTTGCCACTTGCTTGATTACATATTTACTTAATTCCTATAGCCTTGTAATAAGTCTTGACAACCTGCAGTTCCAGTCACCTCCTCTACCACATATACACTCTTCCTTCCCTACCTAATACTTTCTTGCCTATTTGTGGCCTTCTGTTTTCCCAAGTTTTTGAATCAGCTGATCAAATCACACATAAACACACAGGCACAAGAGCTATGAAATTCAGTTAAATTAATTTTGTAATTTACATTAAGGATAACTGTTATCTTTATTATATTATCTTATTATTCATTAATATGATATAGCTATTATAACATTCTATGATATTCTCAATAAAGGCAATTCACACCTTTTCTTAGATTTACTCCTATATATTTACTAGCTGGTATCATTGTAAATATAATGATATAGATTATATATCCATCATAATGATACATGATATATCATTATATCATAATAATATAATGATAATTATATCACTATATTTGCTAACTGCTACATATAGATATATATATATTTGCTAACTGCTATATATAGATATAATCTATATCATTATATTTGCTAACTGCTGCATATTGAACAAACCACGGATTTTCATATATAATAATTTTGTATTTATTCTATTCTAAATACTTTATATTTCTTACGATGTCTTCTATGACCCATGAGTTTGGAAGGACATATCTTTACATTCCAAATGTATGTTTCATCCTTTTGTGATTGACTTCTACCATATTTCTTTATGTCAGAGACCACAGTCAGTCTGTAAGATTATTTGAGATGTAGTTTGATTTGGAACATGGTGAATTTTTGCAAATGATCCATGTATGCTTGAAAAGAATGTGGTCTCTAATTTTTGGATGCAAGTTCTATTTATGTTTATTATACCAAGCTTGCTGATTGTTTTTGGGGGGGTAGTATCTATACTCTTAACTGTCTAATCTATTTTTAGGAGATAGTTTTAAATGTTGTACTATCATAGTGAACTTATAAATTCCTCCTTATAATCCTGTCAAATATTAATTTATATATTCTGAAACTATTAGATGCTTATAAATTAAGCATCTTGCGAACTAAACCTTCCTTGTGAACTAAACCTTTCAGTGTTATATAGTGACCTCTTAATACCTAATGCTTTTTGCTTTTGTCTCTTTGTCTGATATTACTATAGCTACAATGGCTCTCTTTTTTTGGTGTTAACTTGTGCATTTTAACTATTTTATTTTAAAATATCAAGGGAGCCCTGGCTAGTGTGGCTCAGTGGACTGAGCATGGGCCTGCAAACCAAAGTGTCACTGGTTTGATTCCCAGTCAGGGCACATGCCTGGGTTGCAGGCCAGGTCCCCAGTAGAGGGTGAGCTAAAGAGACAACCACACAGTGATGTTTCACTCCCCCTCTTCCTCCCTCCCTTCCCCTCTCTCTAAAAATAAATAAGTAAAATCTTAAAGAAAAACAAATAAAATATCAAGGAAAAATATTCCCCAAGGATTTCTCCTCATTAAACTATATAAATTACCAATAAATTAAATAAAATGAGTTCTATAGAGTTAACCTAGTCCTGAAAACTAGTTTATTGATATTAATCAGTAAAATAAATTCCTAAAAATTAATTTCAGAATAATTAAAATAGAAGTGAGGAGATTGTGAGTGCAATGAGATAGAGAAGAAGTGATGTGGTGCTATTACATCAACACTATCCCTCCAATCTCCAGCACAACACAGTGTAAAAGCCATTTGCATACAACTCATTTACTAAGAAAAGGTTAAACCACCTGAGTGAGAAGTCCTAGCATAATTTTCACCTGAGACATATTTCAAATCATGCTTCACAATCAACTTGATTACATTTATCAAAGAAGCAAACTGTTCTAGATGGCTGCAGTTCAAGCTAAAGTATCACTTAGGACTAAATATGTCTTTGATTGAATGAAATGTGATTTGGCTAACAATGTCAAGAAGGCACAAGGAGAAATATACTAAATTATCAAGATTTCAGGTCTTTTTGTTGATTTCTCACTGAATCAAATTAATTTCAAATTAAAGAAAAGGATGGGTAAATTTTTCTGACAAGGCTAAATTAGCTTTACTACACTGCATATTCTAAGCATTTTATGAAAACAAAGTAATACTAGAAGATAGGACCCTGGTTTCTAGCCTTTTCTCTGTGACTGAAGAGCTGTATGATCATAGATAAATCATTTCAGCTTTTTCTAGGACCTTAGTTTCTTCACCTCTAAATAAATAAAATGAACAAAAGTTTCTTGATCTATTTTTCAAATTTAATCATCTACAAGTCTATGAGTCTAGACAATTCCTAGGAACAGCATCATACCTGAAAAAGCATCTGGTGTCTATAACATCAATTTAATTGCTTCATGAAATATAAGAAAAGCAAATTCTGATAAAAGAGCTGATTTTCCCAACATACTTTAAAAAACATCCAGAAATATACTAATATAATTTTTTCAAAAAGAAAACTTTAAAAAATATCAAAATTCATTCAAATATGTCAAGCCATAAGATATAAGGAAAACAAACCATAAAATGTACTCAATTCTAAAAGAAAGTCAAGTAGAGTTATATAAAGGATCTACTCAGGACATTCTATGAAGTAGTTCACTTTTAAATCATCTCTCCTTCAAGAAGAAAATCGTTCTTATCAAGAGTGGGTCTGAGAGTCCAGAAGAGAGACTGGTAGCCAGAGATGCAGTGGTGACCTTGATAAGACCAGCTTACATATCACTCACACACACACACACACACACACACACACACACATCTACCAATCTTCAAAGTTGTTTTTCAAATCAGCAGCACAACTGTCATCCCTGAGTGAGGGTGGTGGTCAAACTGGACAGTGAGGGAAGCAGGGTTATTCTTGATAATGATTTTTATCTCTATTAAAGCTAGAACTTATAGGAAGTAAGCAGGAAGACAGCAAAATCATGGGTGTCCCAAAGTTCCAGGAGATTAGATAAGAGGAAAAAAATGCAAGGCACTCAGAAGATGAAAATGCATTGCCCCTTTGGTGCACTAAACCTATCAGTATCTCCAAATGGAAAGTACTGTATCAAGGTGAGAGATTTTTGCCCCCAATTTTTTTACAACCCTCTACTTTCCCATAGTTTGGAGACACTGCACCAAGCTGTCTCCATCAAGTAAAAATTCTATCAATATATTTAAAATTTCTTCAGTGTTTATGTGAAATTTATTTTGTATTTGTTAGTATCATATAATGAAGTAGGTGACAACATGAGTAAGATTTCCAGAATAGCATCAAAAGTGGTTTTATTTAAAGCTGCATAAAGTTCCACACTTTCAAATCCCTGTTTTTGGTCACCTTCAATATCAGAGTAACACAGAAATGAAAATATCAATGTGGTAAGGAAAACAAAATGGACACCTATTTCTTTGAGAGCTTAGTCAGTGATTTGAGTATTAGTCGCATATCATCAGTAGAGATCCCACTTTTTCTAGGTTTACCTCATTAGTCACTGATCTAGGTGTCTTTCTCTGACTTGATGAAGGCAAAGTCTTCCAGAAATTCAGGTCTTCCATATTAGAGTCATCTCCCTTCTGATCTTTTCCTGAACAAAAGAAAGAATTAATCAAATACAAAGTGTTACACAGAAGGAATGACTGAATCTGAATGAGAAAAGTCAAGCTGTGTGAAGGGACTTTTCACCTACTCTTCCTATTTTAGTCATTTCATCTTTATCTCATATGTTACATTTGCTTTTCTCCTTGCTTTGAAAAACTAACATAGTGAACATGATTCTTCTTCTGTGAGTATCCTCAGGAAACTGATTGTCAAGCAGTCCCTTTGCTCCTACTTCTATATTATTCAAGGAAGTATTCTTCAGGTAAATCCTAAATATATGACCCACAGAAGCTATGCACTGGAATCTACAGAATAAAATTTTCTGTGTTTCAGAGTCTACTTCTTAGATAAAAAAATGTGACATAAGTCTCATATTATTACTAAGAAACAAATTATCAATATGTAAAGACACATAAAAAGCTCTTTTAGGCTTTATTGAAGAATGTAATATAAATAATCCCTACAAAAATGTTGCTGGCTTTATTACAAGATTGTTGCTTACTCTGTTAATTCTACTGCACAGAATCTTCCAGAAGCCAAGAGAGATATTTTACTCTGATCTTAGAATTGAGCACTTGGAATACTGTTTCCTATATCATGGCAGTCTTACATATTATAATTTAGAAATTTTGTGACACAGCATGTTACAAAATCAATCTTCTTGTTTACTACATAATAAATATCACTCACCTCCAAATCAGCACCTGAAAGGGCACAATCCGCTTATTACTACATAATAAATATGTAGTAAACAAATACTCTGAACACTAGTGCATTGCTGAGTGTGATAAAAAGGAAACCAAATAGAAATTATGGACTATTATAGCAAATTTTTATAAACATATAGTACAAAATATCAATGAAAGGGCCACATATCAAAACTAGTATGAATTAGCTAAAGCAGTGTTAAGGAGGAAAAGTATAGTTTTTAAATAGATTGATAAAAAAAGAAAAAGGTTACAAAACCAAGTTTTGTATTCAATTCCAAAGGCCAAGAATAACTGAGGAAATGACCAAATCTGTAGAAAGGGAGATAACAATAAAAAGTAGCAAATAGAGTAGTGGCCAAGATGAAGGCATAAGTAGAAAAGTTTTGCTTCCTTGCATAACCAAAACAAGGAAAACAACCAATTTAAATACAAAAAACAACCAGAAATGCCAGAATAGCAAAGTGCATGCGAGTCCAACAACCAAGGAATTAAAGAAACATTCACCCAAACTGCTAGGAGAAGTGAAGAGGGAAAGTGGGGAAGAGTGGACAAGTGGCAAGATGGTGGACAGAGTGGCAAGGTGGGAGCTAGCTGACCGGGACATCCCACATTTGCATGGGGATAAGCTGGGAGAAACAAATTGGGAGTGAGACAGAGCAGGCAACCCTGGGTTCCAGCATGAAAAACTAAAGACTCAAAACCTTTGGCTGGAAAAATCTGTGGAGGCTGAGGTGGGACAAACTCCCAGTATCACAGGAGAGTCTGTTGGAGATGTCCATGTGGTCCTAGAACATACACAAACCCACTCACCTCCGAATCAGCACCTGAAAGGGCACAATCTGCTTGTGAATAATGGGGGAAGTGAGGGAAAGAGGGCGAGAGCCTAGAAAGTAGCATTGTTCCCTCTCTGACCCCTCCTCACAGACAGCGCCACAGCACAGCAAAGAAGGTTGCTCCACCCTGGCAAATACCTAAGGCTCTTCCCCTTAAAACATAACAGGTGCACAGAGAAAAAGATCTATGGCCCAAATGAAAGAAGATTAAAACCCCAGAAAAAATCTAAGCAGCAAGGAGATAGTCAACCTATCTGATGCACAGTTCAAAACACTGGTAATCAGAATGCTTAAAGAATTTACTGAGTTTGGTCACAAAATGAAAGAAGAAATAGAGGCTATACAGAGTGAAATAAAGGAAAATATACAGGGAACCACTGGTGAAGTGAAGAAAACTGGGACTCGAATCAACAATTTGGAACAAAAGGAAGAAATAAATAGCCAACCAGAACAGAATGAAAAAACAAGAATTCAAAAAAATAAGGAGAGGTGGAGGAACCCCTAGGACAACTTTAAATGCTCCAAGTACTGAATCATAGCAGCTCCAGGAAAAGAGGAAGAGCAAGAAATTGAAAATTCACTGAACAAATAATGAAGGAAAACTTTGCCATCTGGCAAAAGAAATAGACCTCCAGGAAGTCTACGAAGCTCAGAGTACCAAAGAAGCTGGGCCCTAGAAGGAACACACCAAGACACGTGACCATTAAGGTACCCAAATTTAAGATAAGGAGAGAATCTCAAAAACAGCAAAAGAAAAAAAGACAGTTACCTACAAAGGAGTTCCCATAAAACTATCAGCTGATTTCTCAAAAGAAACCTTGCAAGCAAGAAGGGGCTGGAAAGAAGTACTTAAAGTCATGAAAGGCAAGGACCTACATCCAAGGTGACTCTATCCAGCAAAGCTATCATTTAGAATGGAAGGGCAGATAAAGTGTTTCCCAGATAAGGTCAAGTTAAAAGAGTTCATCATCACAAAGCCCTTATTATATGAAATGTTTAAGGGACTTATCCAAAAATTGGAAAAGATAAAAAACCATGAACAGTAAAATGTCAACAAACTCACAACTATCAACAATTGAACTTAAGAAACAAAAACTAAGCAAACAACTACAACACAAACAGAATCACAGAAATGGAGATCACATGGAGGATTATCAGTGGGAAAGGGGAGGGAACAATGGGAGGAAAAGATACAGAGAATAGGAAGCATAATAATTAGGTACAAAATAGATAGGAGGAGATTTAGAAAGTACAGGAAATGGAGAAGCCAAAGAACTTGTATGTACAATACATGGACATGAACTGAAAGAGGGGAATGGTGGAAGGTGGGAGGGTACAAGCAGGAGAGGGTGTAAGGGGAGAAAAAGATGGAACAACTGTAATAGCATAATCAATACAATATACAATAAAAACAGAAAATAGGAAATAAGCTAAAACTAGAATAATGAAAAATAAAAACGTATTCGAAAATGACTTAAAAATACAAACCTCTCTAACTACACAATTAACAACATTAAAAAACAAAAAGGCCAGCCCCCAGCCCTCCCCTCTTCCCTCCCATTACCATGCCTCCCATAGTTATTTTCCATGTGTCTTTTATACTTGTTCCTGTAAACCCTTCCCCTTTACCCTTGAAATTCCCTCCCCTCTCCCCTCTGGTCACTGTCAGCCTGATCTCTATTTCAGTGTCTTTGGTTATATTTTGCTTGTTTGTTTGTTTTGTTGTTTAGGTTCCTATTAAAGGTGAGATCATATGGTATTTGTCTTTCACTGCCTGGCTTATTTCATTTAGCATAATGCTTTCCAGTTCCATCCATGCTGTTGCAAAGGGTAGGAGCTCCTTCTTTCTTTCTGCTGCATAGAATTCCACTGTGGAAATGGACCATAGTTTTTTGATCCATTCACCTACTGATGGGCACCTAGGTTGCTTCCAACACTTGGCTATTGTAAATTGTGCTGCTATGAACATTGGGGTGCATAGGTTCTTTGGATTGGTATTTCAGGGTTCTTAGGATATAATCCTAGCAGTGGAATTGCTGGGTCAAAAGGCAGATCCATTTTTAGTTTTCTGAGAAAATTCCATACTGTTTTCCATAGTGGTTGCACCAGTCTGCAGTCCCACCAACAGTGCATAGGGTCCCCTTTTCTCCACAACCACTCCGACACTTGTTGTTCGTTGCTTTGTTTCTGATGGCCATTCTGACTGGTGTGAAGTGGTAGCTCATTGTGGTTTTAATTTGTGTCTCTCTGATAGCTAGCAATACTGAGCATCTTTTCATGTGTCTCTGGATCCTCTGTATGTCCTCCTTGGAGAAGTATCTGTTCAAGTCCTTTGCCCATTTCTTAAATTGGGTTGCTTGTCTTCTTAGAGTGGAGTCGTGTGAGTTCTTTATATATTTTGGAGATTAAACCCTTGTCTGAGGTATCATTGACAAATATGTTTTCCCATACAGTGGGTTCCCTTTTTATTTTAATACTGTTTTCTTTAGCTGTGCAGAGGCTTTTTATTTTGATGAGATCCCATTTGTTTATTCTTTCCTTTATGTCCCTTGCTCTAGGGGACATGTCAGTAAAAATGTTGCTGCGTGAAATAATTGAGATTTTCCTGCCTATGTTCTCCTCTAGAACTTTAATGGTGTCATAGCTTATACTTAAATCTTTTCTCCACCTTGAATTTATTTTTGTGTATGGTGTAAGTTGATGCTTGAGTTTCACTTTTTTGCACGTAGCTGTCCAGTTCTCCCAACACCATTTGTTGAAGAGGCTACTTTTACTCCATTTTATGTTGCTGCCCCCTTTGTCAAATATTAATTGACCATAGAGACTTGGGTTTATTTGTAGGCTCTCTGTTCTGTTCCACTGGTCCATATGCCTGTTTTTATGCCAGTACCAGGCTGTTTCAATTACAGTGACCTTGTAGTACAGTTTGGTATCAGGTATTGTGGTCCCTCCTACTTTGCTCTTCTTTCTCAAAATTGCAGCAGCTATTCGAGGTCGTTTATGGTTCCATATAAATTTTTGAAGTGTTTGTTCTATGTCTGTGAAATATGCCATTGGTACTTTAATAGGTTTTGCATTGAATCTGTAAATTGCTTTGGGTAGTATGGACATTTTGATGATGTTAATTCTTCCAATCCATGAACACGGTGTATGTTTCCATTTGTTTTTTGTCTTCCTTGATTTCTTTCTTCAGTGTTGTGTAGTTTTCTGCATACAGGTCTCTTACCTCCTTGGTTAGGTTTATTCCTACATACTTTGTTTTTCTTGCTGCTATATTGAATGGGATTTTTTTTTTCTTGGTTTCTGCTTCTGCTGTTTCATTGTTGGTATGCAAAAATGCCTTTGATTTCTGGATATGGACTTTGTATCCTACTGTTTTGTCAAATTCATTTATTAGGGTGAGCATTTTTTTGGGTGGAGTCTGTGGGATTTTCTATGTACAC